CAAATCAAGCTTTTTACTCAAATTTAAACTTAAATTTGAGTCTAAATTTGAGTCATGGTTGGAGATGCTCTAAGTGTCTTTCATATTCCTTTCCTTTCCAATACGTACTGCATAAGTGTATTTTAGTCTTGTACAATTATTTTTTTACTTATATTGGAGTTATTTAATAATTTTTTTAATCCCTGTGCAAAAACCTTAAACGACAGATATTTAGGAACGGAGAGAGTACATCTTTAGGGACCTATTTTCCTATTAAATTTGAGGCGTTAATATTAGTTGGCGCATTAATTTTATAGTAAAATTTAAAAAAGATCTTTAATCGCGAAAAACAAAAGTTATTTTAATTATCTTTTGAGATTTGAATTGTATTATATTTTATTATATAAATTTTATATAAGTGGATAAAATATGAGATTAAACGTAAGACTAAAATATTATGTATTATAATCTAGTATTTGGTAAGATATTGACTTAAAGTGAGATAATAGAGTACTAATTATATATTAACAAAAAAATCATCAATCTTGTCTAGTTATTAATGTTTTTGTTTATTTGGTGGATTAAATAGTAAATTTATAACTTAATATGCTTCAATTTGACTATAATTATATATCTACAAGTAATATTATAATCGGTTCAATAGTATGAATATAGTGTATTGTTTAGAGAAGTCTTTGAAATAAGACTATATATAATACATAATATTTTTTAAAATCAAATATAATATAAAGTAGAATATTAGTTATGATTTTGTAATCCACCCTTTAGTACTACAATAAAACAACTCATAATGGTATGCTATGATTAGCTATTTGAAGATACAGCTTAGTGCAAATATACACAATGTCAATCGGTTAAGGTTAATACACACAAGGGTAAATAAATAAAAAAAAGTGCAAATATAGGCCTTGCATATGTATAATTAGTAATAGATCTCTTGCAACTCTCGTAAGAAGTATGTATAGATTAAGGTTTAATTGTAAGTTGTACCCTAAAAGATTGTTAGAATTTTAATTTACACCCCCAAAGATTAAAAATCTCAATTTACACCTTCAAAGATAAAAATTTGTATCAATGTGCACCCCAAAGATAAAAATCTCAATTTACACCCTCAAAGATATAAATATGTATCAATGTGCACCTAAAACTAAATTGATGAATTATACCTAGATTCCCTTATACTTGTCACTTAATCATTTGGACCCCTTCACATTTAGAATATTACTCCCACATCTCACAACGTTTGTGCACGTGTAACATGTAACCTCATTTCATTAATATCTGTTAATATAACCGTTAAAAAATGTAATTTTATCCTAATAAAAAATTATATTGTCCAATGGTAAACTTGATTTTGAACTTTAGAGTATATCGAACCCACAAAATAAAGAGTAATATGAAATTATAATTTTTTATTAGGATAAAATCATATTTTTTAACAGTTATATTAACAGATATTAATGAAAAGAGATTACATGTTACACGTGCACAAACGTCATGAGATATATGAGTAATATTCTAAATGTGAAGGGATCAAAATGATTAAGTGACAAGTATGAGGGAATCTAGGTATAATTTATCAATTTAGTTTTAGGTGCACATTGATATAAATTTTTATCTTTGAGAGTGTAAATTGAGATTTTTATATTTGGGGGTGCACATTGATACAAATTTCTTTCTTTAAGGGTATAAATTAAAATTTTTAATCTTTGAAGGTATAAATTGAGATTTTCACTATCTTTTGAGGAATAACTTGCAATTAACCCATAGATTAATGACTGGTCAGTCACATTTCGAATTTCTCTTTCACTCTCTTTATTATTTGTCTTTTAGTATTGCTTCTATACCATTATCGGCTTTGCGATATTTATGTAATGTTTAGCAAATACCAATTCAATTAGTTCTTAATCGTTAAATGATTCTCAATCTATCTAATCTTTCTGTCTTCGGTCTACAAATTGGTTTGATCTCACATTAATTAATTTGAAAGGCTATGCTATAACTTTTTAAGGATAAATTATAATTTTTTTGAGGTGTAAGTTACAACTTGTAAAAGACATGATCGATCATGGAATGTTCGAATCGATATCAAAAGTTACAATTTTTAAATATCAAGTTATAACTTACAAGAGAGAAGTTACAACGACTTAAGGAAAGTCCATGATCGATCATTGATTTTTGTGATAGATCATGACATTTTCTTGAGCAGCTATAATTTTTCATAACTTTATCATAAAAAGTTATAACTTTCGATATGATGTTGACAGGGTCTCAGAAATCACAACCCAAGCCCAACGTAGGCGAGTCTGGTGTAAGAGTTTATTTGGTAGATTGGACTATCTATTGAAAGAGAAAACACGGAAGATAAGTGGTTCACATTAGTTGATAGATCAAGGTTACATTCACTGTAATAGAGTCTCTTGTTCCTTGATTTTGTTTATTGAAACTCTGATGTATACAACCGGAATTCAGGTGCTGAGCCTTTACAGAGGTTGGTGTTTCGCTCACAGAGCATACACGGTTGATCAACGTTCTCTCCGCCCCCTCCTTATTGTAGGGCATTGTTCTATATATATATATATATATATATGTGAGATGTCTTTTTTNCAGGTTGGTGTTTCGCTCACAGAGCGTACATGGTTGATCAACGTTCTCTCCGCCCCCTCCTTATTGTAGGGCATTGTTCTATATATATATATATATATATATGTGAGATGTCTTTTTTGTGGTTTCTGGCAGTTTCTTCAANGAGGTTGGTGTTTCGCTCACAGAGCATACACGGTTGATCAACGTTCTCTCCGCCCCCTCCTTATTGTAGGGCATTGTTCTATATATATATATATATATATATGTGAGATGTCTTTTTTGTGGTTTCTGGCAGTTTCTTCAACTTTTTTACCAATCTTGTGGGGATCTCCTGTCCTTGTCCTGCAAAAGCCTTTTTTAGTCGGCGTCATTGCGCCTACGATCTCTGGGGCGTTATGCTCCATCATCTTCTGCGTGCGGGAGGATGTAGCTATGACAGGTTTCAACGATAGTCCCCTTATCCTCTGGACGAGTGGTACGACAAGATGACTCCGAGGCGAAGATCCGATTGCTTCTCTTTAGATTGCCCTTTAGCTAGCACCAGATTGCCCCGAGACTGGACCTGTGCCCCTCAGGTGCCCATTGGGCTTTGCCCTTCCAGCTCTTTGTCATGGATTAATCAGAGGTACTTTATTTTGGGCCAATGAATTTTGCCTCCAATTCCTCATGATTTTTTGAGTTTCGGGCTTGTTGGCGGCTTATCTCCAGAATTCTACCCTTATCAAATGTAATTTTGTTTTTGTTTTTGAGTAACGTAGATTTTTCATAACAGAACATAACCTATGTCAAATTAAAACTTCTAAATTAAGTCAAAAATCTCTTAAGATTCCTCTCTAGCCATCCCCATCCAGCCAGCTATTTCCTCAGTACCAAACCCTAATTAACAAATATTGTTCAAAAAAAATAAATAAATATTGTATGAAACTAAACAAAACAAAACAATAAAGCAGCTCCCACTCTATTCTTATCCACAAATTTTGAACAAATTCAACAAACCCACAAAAGCTAATTTCTGTAGCTGGTCGGTGCACTTTGTGGCCCANCCCACTCTATTCTTATCCACAAATTTTGAACAAATTCAACAAACCCACAAAAGCTAATTTCTGTAGCTGGTCGGTGCACTTTGTGGCCCAAAGCCAAGACATGTCTCCATCATCTTCCTTCTTTTTATCATTATTTCTCCCTCCCTCTCATCTCTCTCTCTATCTCTCACACAAGCAATGGACCNCCCCCACCAAACACATACAAACACATACACACAGACACCTCCCCCATCACTTACTGGTCGGTTCACGTGGTTGCATCATATCATTGATGACATTTGCGACACCTTCATTAAAGCATGTTATTTGACAGCTAGGCTTTTTGAACAAACCCCATTGGACGTGCATATGGAGACATACATTGTACACATACATATTCCTTTATCTTGTTCCAAGGTAGCCACTACTATACTTTGATTGGAAAAACTAAATGATAGCATAATTCGGTGTATAATACTCTTGTTATTACGATTACGATGCATTAAGTTTGAAATGACATAAACAATCATAAAAATTACGCCAAAATGTGTCATTTCTGTGTTAGAAATTAACTTCCATAACCTTGAATATAGTATGGGATATAACTAACCAAGAAAAGATTGTGAAAGAATTACATATAAACACACATTTATGTAAACATTTTCAATACTATCGACTATGAAATTTACCAAACTTAGTATGAAATGAGCAAAATTCAGAGAAAGAGAAGGAGAGAGGGAGACCACCCCATACATTTTGTATTTTACGTATGAAACAATTACAAACANCTTAGTATGAAATGAGCAAAATTCAGAGAAAGAGAAGGAGAGAGGGAGACCACCCCATACATTTTGTATTTTACGTATGAAACAATTACAAACATACTTTTTGTGATAAAAAGGCATATCATTTAATCAAAGCTAATTATATTACAACTTGATTCAGATATTGAATAAAAGTGAATTTTTGTGTAATTATCTTTGAGAATTCATAAATGGATTTTGAAGAGTAAAATGTAATTGAATGAATCGATGCCGTTGATGCCAATGATAGAATACGACATATGAGTTCAGATCCTTATGTGAGCTTACCTGGGCTAACCTCCACGACCGTGTCGATGTCCACCTTGCTCCTCCATTTTCTTGAACCGCATGTCTAATACTATTAGACTTTATACTACCTTATACAATAGATTTTTTTTTATGCTATATAAAACTCATGACCTAAATTGATGATCATAATATTATATTCCTATGTTTTACAGTATATATATGTGACCCATGGAAAGGGCTCTATGTGTTATCCAAAACAAAACCCTTCTCTATAATCATCTCTCTGTCCATACNATGGAAAGGGCTCTATGTGTTATCCAAAACAAAACCCTTCTCTATAATCGTCTCTCTGTCCATTCTCTTTGTTCCTAAGCCCTTCTTCTAAAAAAGATGCCTGCCATCGCCTTTGGACGCTTTAATGATTCCTTCAGTTTGAGCTCTTTGAAAGCCTATCTCGCTGAATTCATCTCCACCTTGCTCTTCGTCTTCGCCGGAGTTGGTTCCGCCATAGCTTATGGTTATAATAACCTTTGAATCTTCTTTTAAGTCTGCCTTTCTAATTATTTAAAGTTTCTGCAGATCTAATGAGTCATTGAGTCATATCTAACTCGGTCCTTCTCTTCAGAGACGGATACCCTTTTGTATGCATTATGAGTTTCACTCAATTATGTTGAGTCAACTATGAGTCGTTTGAGTCATCATAATTGAATTGGCCGATGCTGATTTGCAAGGCCACGATATGACGTGAAGCTCTTGATCTCCTTAAAATCTCACTTTAAAACAGTACTAAACTGTGAAATATGCCTATGCAGATCATGCATTAGGTACGTAAAGTAAGATTACTACGAGTTTAATGTTACTGATCATGACTATTATTTGTATGTTTTTGGTGCAGACAAATTGACTTCAGATGCTGCTCTTGATCCTTCTGGACTTGTAGCAGTGGCTATATGCCATGGATTCGCCCTCTTTGTCGCGGTCTCGATTGGAGCCAACATCTCCGGCGGCCACGTTAATCCTGCAGTCACCTTTGGATTAGCTCTCGGGGGACAAATCACCATTCTTACCGGCTTCTTCTACTGGATTGCCCAGCTTGTTGGCTCCATTGTGGCATGCTACCTACTCAAATTTGCCACCGGAGGCTTGGTATGTTACAGATATTAAAATTAGGACTAGAACTTTCAATCAAATTTCGAAGTCATCATGGAAATATATAAATAGTAATACTTTCTCTAATAATTTAAATTTAATATGATATTAGAATAGTAGGTTCGAAATTATTAAAAAAAAGTTCCATTTGACCCAAAAGCGAGCTCACCCGTGAGGGGGTGCGTTAAAGTATATTTGTTTCTTTTGACAGCGAATAAAAAGAAATTGTAAATTTCAGAGGAGGGATAGAAGAAATACAAATTTGAAAACATCAAAACTTTAGGGAGTCAACTGAAAAACTACATAAATTATAATGGAAGGAATTTTATTTTTTTTTCAAGATTGGTGGCCATGACGCTCTTGGCTATATTCCTAGTTCCCCTAGGAACCATGGATACTTTTTGGAGAGAGCTGTGGTAGTGCTGGAACACGGCTGGACACGGTCCGACACGATTAGAAGTGTTCTGAACAGTGAATCTATTCGGACACGGCTAGGACTTAACCAAGATACGTCTAGGACATGTCCAAACCACTGTAAAAAATTATTCAAAAAAAAAAAAACAACTGTTGACTATTAAAAGAGATTATTTTTATTTTTTTAATATAATTTTTGTTATGTAACTTATATATTATGAATTTAATGGATGTAATGATATTTGATGAAAATAATGGATATTTATTTTGATCTATTTCAATTTTAATCAAAAAATTAATATTTGTTAGGTTTTATTATTAATATTATTATAATATATGCTTTTGTTTGTAATATATTACAACTCTAATATTATTTTAAAAAGATATTATATTATTTTAATAGTTGAACCCTTATCTCATCTGATATTTTTGAATTTTGTCATATTCTCATGTTTAAATCTTATTAAATATGACATCGTGTCTGTATCTATGGCCGTACTTCCTAGGTTTTGCCTTCGACTCACACAAATATATTGGTTGCTTGAAATTTTATTGTTTTTTGCCGTAGTAAGAGTCTCATGCCTACTCATCATGGCTTGTTTTGCAGACAATTCCAACCCACGGTGTGGCTGCTGGCGTGGGAGTTGTTGAAGGAGTTGTTATGGAGATCATAATCACCTTTGCTTTGGTCTACACTGTCTATGCCACAGCAGCTGACCCAAAGAAAGGCTCATTGGGCATTATTGCTCCCATGGCAATTGGTTTCATTGTTGGTGCCAATATCTTGGCTGCCGGCCCGTTCTCCGGTGGATCAATGAACCCAGCCCGCTCTTTTGGGCCGGCTGTTGCTACCGGGGACTTCCACGATCACTGGATCTATTGGGTTGGACCCCTCGTCGGTGGTGGCTTGGCCGGAGTTATCTACTCAAATGTGTTCATGCACCACGAACATGCCCTTCTCCCCAGCAACTTCTAAAATTTCAGTCTAGTGAACGAGATTTTCGTCACTACGGAGAAATTACTGAAATTGTGATCATCATTGTGTTCAAAACTCGCTTGTTTTTTGTAATAAAAGGAAGAACAGCAGGTTTACTTGCAGTTCTTTCTTTCCCCGTTTTGCCCATTTCATTGTCGTTCATAGCTGTAAATCCATTTTCTAGTGAAATGTTGCTTTCAAAGAGATGCATGAAATTGGTAGAATTTCACCCACTCTTTTTTGAGTGTTATGCTTTGGCTTTATGTGATTCTTTTTGTGACCAGTCAGTGGGTGGGCCTATCTGTTCAATGATTACTGTTTATTTCAGATCATGTCTGACATCTTAGAGGTACGGCATATGCTCTTGAATTAGGAATTCTCTACAGCAAAAAAAAAAAAAAAATGTACCAATATTTATCATTTTTGGGAATACTTTTATAAATGTTATAATACCAAAAAAAGTTATAAAAATAGTTACTATAATAATATGGTAAAAATACCCACAAAAGTGATAAATTATTCGTAAAAATAATAAATTTTTTTATTGTAAAAATATCCATAATAATAATAATAAAAATACCTACAAAAATAATAAACTTTAGAATTAGAGTACCAAATTTTTAAGTCCCTTGAATTAACTAGGAGTCTTTTTTATAACTAAAATGTACCTTTTTAGTATGAACTTCCACCTTTTAATCAATTGAAATGCGCCACGTATATATTTTTTTATGTTATGACTTTATTATTTTTTCATCAACGGTTGGTGATCATGTAAATCAAAATCAATAATTTTGAAATTCAATTTTGACCCTTTTGTTTTATTTAATATTTATTTGATCCCCTTTACAGTTCTAAAATTTTCATTTAATTTTTTCAAATTGACCACCCCTTGAATTTTTTGGTTCCGTTACTCATAAAACAAATGAAAAGAAATTTAGTAATTATAAATGTGTTTGGATCTTACTCACATAGAATTATAAAATTTTGCATTTGAATTTAATATCAATTAAAATTTCTTTATTTGGATGAAAATTCAGATATGTGTAGATGGAACATACGGGTAGGCCTGACAATCGTGTCGAGTGAAACGGTTTCGTGTCGACTGGAACGAGTTTATGTCAAAAAATCTTTCATCCATATCATATTCGTTTATATAAACGAGTCTAACTATCACACTCATACATGAATCGTTTATTAGACGGGTTATCCAATATTACCCATGTATAATTTCAAGTATACATGAAAAATCATTATCTCGCCACATATTACATATGTTTGACCTATTTACTATAATAATAAATCATAATTGAACAAAAAAATAAAGACAAAAAATAAACATTAAATGACTACTAAATTTGAATAATTCTAAGAGATGAGAGGTGTGAGATGAGACCGGAACTGAGAGACCTAACTTGTTTTTTAAAAAAAAAATTTACCACTCTTAACGGGTTGAAACGAGTTTATGAGTTAAACATAAAACTGGTTTGTTTATTTTATGGGTTTGTCGAGTTAACCCGTTAACCACCTAAACCTATTAACACTACAACCAAACCCGCTAAATCTGTGTTAGATTCGTGTCGATTTCACGAGTCGTGTCTAGAATTGTCAACCCTACATACAGGCTTAGGTCCGTTTTAATTCAGCTTCCCACAAAGTCGTGGATCAGTCCGACCCATCACGTGGTGGTCCATTGATAACATTACAGCCCAATATATGGGCCATTCTAGAAACTTGGAGGCGTCCTGTCTGTCAAATTTTAAAAACAGGCCCGTTAGAACCACTGCTAAAGATCCATTACTCCTGACCCGATGATCGGTCGTCCGCTTTATAATTTTAGGGCGGGCTAGTCCTAACTCAAATTCAGAACTTTTCCTCTTTTACCTTAAAAATTTTAAAAATTATTTTGTAAATATGTTCAAAAAAAACTTTGGAAATATAGATAGGATTAAATAAATATGATTATAATACTCTTCTTTTTTTTAATCAACATAATTTTTTTAAATACATATTAATTACATTTAACTATTTATAATTATAATTTTCATAATTACTTATATACATATATTTCTTTTAATTCTTTTTCTTTTTAGTAGGTTTTAATTATTTTTGTACTGTGTATGAATGACTCTTACTGCAAACTTGCTATGAACAACTTAAAAAATTCATTTTATCTTTATGGACTAATAAAAAAAAGTGAGAATTATTGAAAACTACAAAATTATGTATCTAATTTCTGAATAAGTTTAGACATATAGTTTTTAAGACATGAGGTCTAACTCAAACTAAACTTTTAAGACTAGAGTTCCAAACTAATTATATTATTTTTTATTTATTACGAGAATACTCGCACTTAACATTTGATTACAGAAATTTAAGAATAAGATAAAGAAATTTAAGATTGAGTTTATCTATATTATAAACTTTATTTTTCATATTATTTTAGATGAATTTATCAATTTTAATAAATGTTAGATTTTCAAAATTATTTTACACCAATTTATTTGTATTAATAAAACTTCAATGTTCATTATATGTAATAAAAATTTATTTTATAAATTTTATTTTTAATATATATTTTTTAATTCAAAATTTTAATATTTTTGTAATTCACTGTCCAAAATAGAACAAGTGCGAAAGACATGAATCAAAAGCACAAATAGAATAGATTGATGGAAGTAAACTTGTATAATCAAAATAGAAATTACAATTAACTAAGAGTAACTTACAAATAGTTAACTAAAAGAAATCTCTTGCTGCATCATATGAAAACTTGTGATACAATATGAGAGATATGAGAGGAGAGACATGAGAGAAGAGAGAAATTTGCTTTGAATCCCCAAAAGGATTCTGCCTTGCTAAGAAAACTGAGGTCTTTATATAGGCATAAGGATTTTTGAAATGATTTTTCTTTTGACTTATGTTGCTGCTTTAACTCAGGTTACTTGTTTTTCACTTAAGCTTTCCGGTGGAAAAATTGGAGTGAATAACTTTAACTCTGGTGAATGTTGACTTTAAAGACGTGCACATGACTGTTGGGCCCTTGATATCGACTGAGAATCTGCTTTTGGTGAAAAAGCAGATTGATTGATTGATTGATTGATGACTATTTTGCTTGTAGAAAGGAGTCTTGTTGCTAAATGATTCTATCGGGGTGTGTAAAAGATAGCTTTTCTTTATTTTGAGGAAAAAAATAGTGATTGAACTTTTACACACAGAGATTAGAATCATGGATTGCTGAGATCATAAGCACCATAGGGGTTTTGAGCATCCTGAAAATTGATCCATAGATGGACTAACTGATGCTTGTGAGGATGCAAACGAACAGCTTTGGCTAGCTGCTTGCTGGAGAACCTTCTGTGCTAACTCGATCAACTCAAATGACTTCTTCTTATGTTGCTTAATGGAAACCTTAGAGAAAGATTTTTTCTGCTTTGCTAATGGTTGTGCTTGTTCTTTTAGTGAAGAGACCCTGAGAACTGACATAACCTGTTTTGTCGTAGTGCTAATTGTTATTCCTATAACCTTGACTAGTGTAGGAACCTTGACTGAGAACTCTTTTTCTACCTAGGCAATGATATGGCCGTGTTAGAACCTTGGCCACCACTTGACGTAAAATTTTCGGGCAACATTATTTGCTATGATCTCCCAATGCCTTTTGCAAATCCATGGAACTTTATACTTACTAATAAATAATAATAACATTGAAAACTGACTCTCATGTTTGACTAGAAGAAAAACCATAATTGATAAGGATTGAGGAGTCAAGATTGAGATAGGAAGACTTGAAGATATGACAACAATTTAATCCTTATAAGAGTCCAAGTTGGAAGAAAACTCATTTAGAGTTAGATTAGGAAAGTATCCTAGAAGATAACGATTTGATACGTTTTCAGTATTTTGGTCAAAACTTTTGACTCTAATATCCGATTTATTTGATTTTTGGGGGTTGAAAAGAAGACTTAAAGGGCTACAAAAGTGTATTTCACGAAAATTTCGTGAATCAACCTCTAAATATGTGAAATCCAAGATTGAAGTCTGGATAGATTTTATACCCGCGCCCAAAAGATTTTATGCACAGAATTTAAATTTACAAGACTTCTTTTTGAAAAAGGAATTTCTTCCTAGACAACCTTATATCTTCTATCTATATTTAGGATTTTTTTTTAGTATAAATAGGGATTTTCATTTAGAGATTATTATTATTATTTTTTTTATTCATCTTTTTATTTTGATTTTAGTTCGTTATGTCTGGCTAGAAAACTAAGCTAGGGTTAGAGAAGAACCTCTCAATGAAGTAAGATAATGTTATTGATTCTGAGTTTAATGATTTATGATATTTTGTTAACTTAACTTCTGATCTTATAGCAAAATTTTTGTTCTGTAAAAATCTTTGATTCCTTGTGTTATGTACATCGATTGCTTGAATTTCTCTACGAGTAAAAAATTGGTTATTCCCGCTTGAGGTAATTATCATTATTTCATAAAATAATATAATTGGATGATTATTCAGTTCCTGAATAATCTTTTGATTATAACTTTTGGTTTTCTTACTTGATTTGTTACTCGAATCAACCGACATCTGATTCTTGTCTCAAGTTAAGATTTAAGTCTTTAATCATTATTGTATGGAATTGAGAGGGAGTATCTGATGCTCTAGTATTTTTATTATTGTTTTAATTATTAAAATTAATTTTCTTTGTTCAACAATTCTTTAAACAAATCATTTACTTTTAAATTTGTTTTAGTATTTGTGTGATTACTTTTTTGTTACAATTCCTTGAGGGTTCGACCTCGATCTTTCGAGAAATATATTAATTCGCTCAATCTGCGCTTGAGTTTATAATATTAAAGTTGAAGCAAGTTTTTGACGCCGTTGCCAGGGAATTGTTTGATAAGGAGCCATCACATCTATTGAGGTTTGCCAGATTTGAGATTCGTCACAGATCTGGTAATCTCGTCATTTTTTATTATTTATTTTTTATTTGTTTTATTTTTTCTTAGGTTAGATATTTCATAATTTTTATTTTATATTTTTATATTTTTTAATGTGGTGTGAAGATTTTCCCTGATGGAGGAACTGTGTGTGTTTTGTGATGTGTATAGGTATTCTATTGAGGTTTGCCCTTTAATTCAAAATGCTCGACAATATTTGAGGAATGAGACAATTGTATTACCTAATTCTTCTCAACC